GAGCGCACACTCGACCCCTCCCCCTCTCAGTCGAACCAGCAGCTGCAGATCGTAGTCTGATTGCAAGCCAGGCTGCATCGATTGCTGCCTGAGGCCACATATTATGAGAGCCTTCCTAAGCACAGCCTGACTTGACCACTTTCGGCTCCATGGATGTATGATGTTCCTTGAACTCCGAAACATGGAACTTTGCATGCACTTCTGCCAAGTGGCGACTTGCTCCTTGCCCTGCTTCAGTGCCGCCTCCTTCTCTCTGGCCTCGGCAGAGCAACGAAGCGGTAGTGAGAAGCACTGCTTGGGCCACTCATGCGCCTGGCAACTTCGCAACAACGGCTCTGAACATTAACCCCCACTCATCTGTAGGCGCCGCACCATCTTGACCTTCTTCTTCTCGACGACCTTCTTCACTCTGAAGAACTCTTCACGAGCCTGATACCACATGTCTCGCTGCTCTTGCTACCCTCCAGTTGCAAACGACGATCTCCAGGCCTCTTCGTCCATCTCTTGTGTAATGTAATGAATCAGCTCCTGTGCCCCAAAATAGCAGAAACAAAAGCAACAAACCAACAAACACCCGTTTGTAAGTTGGGCCCTATAAACCCTAAGCCCCGACTTTACCCAGTTGGGCGCAGTCCTCGATCCTGGGAATCAGAACGTACTCCAAGGCATTTACCTTGCAAGTCAGCTCAAGGGGTCTGATACTCCCGAAGGGTCTAAGTTACTAAGTACCTATATAGTAGGTATGTTGGGCCCCAAAGTATCTACCATATAAGTACCTAGACCCTTTGGGACTGTATGCCTTAGGTGCCACGCCTGATCATCACTGGACGATCAGCTACGCTGCGTGCCATTATTCTACAAATACATACATGCGTACAGCAAGCATAGCCCCGCTTCACTGTCCAAGCCACTCGTCGGCTGGTCATCTTGATTTCCTCATCCAGGGTTTGGAAGGCCGTCTGCAATGACGCGAGCTTCACGATGCACTCCCTCGCGAGAGACAGGCGTTGGTGATGTAGAGTTCTGGGTTGTTCTGGGCAAGAGCGTGTGCTCTCAATGAATCTTGGATATATAGGTACTGACAACCTTCAGAGGGAGAGATCAGGACAACAAACGAAGACAACCCCTTCAGCAAAGGCCAAGTGGCATGGCTTTCACATAGGTTTCGCGCGTCGCATTCAGGACTGCGCCGCCAGATCCAACGCCCATGGTCTGGGCCTTGTTCAATCGCATAAATGGAAAAACTAAATCAGACAGTTGAACCTTTTGTAACACGTCTGCTTTGACTACCAGCCATGTTGCTGAGCTGTCCTGCGAGGAATCGTAGTTCATCTTGAACACGGGGATCGAGACCTAGTGCATGGTCAGATGACCCTGTGTTATGCGATTTCTCTACACTGCTGGATCTCCATCAAGGTTTTCATGTCAAACATTAAGGCTCTTACGCCGGCGACGTTGTCTGGGTACAGCTTTGTCGTCAAGGTCGGCTTCTTTGCCTGCAAGGACAGTCTTGCGTTCGCGAAAACAAGTCTGACTTAACACATCGCCAGGCATCAGCTGCACTCATGAAGCTGGCTGCACACAGTGTCAGTGGCGGACACGAAACCCTTTTGAAACCCCAAATCAAACAGGAACCCTAGACACCATAGACCCGAAGCTTCGAGGTTTTGGGCTGGAACAAGCATGAGATTCTCCCGGCCCTCTCGATGACGGTGGAGGCGATGTCATCTCCAGAGCTGGCGTAGTGCGCCTCGCAGGAGACTTCTGCTCATCCCCATATGCTTCCGAACTACCCTTCGATGCATGACCATAAGACCCAAAGACATCCTGCCCACGAGCCCCCTTCACTTTCATCCGAAGGCTTCTGAGGTACGTCAAAGAAGTCTTGAATCTGAACCCTAAACCCTAAACTGCCCTGTAAACCCTAATTAAAGTGCCCTATAAACCCTAGTGAGATCGTAGGTGTACGCAACCTCCTACCACCCACCTTGGCGAGAGCGAAAGCGCCATCCTGTGGGGTGCAGCCCTAGAACGTGGCATGGCGTTACGCCTCGGTCAAACATTATTTATGTATATACATACATACATATAGACAAGAAAGGCTAATATTAGACAACTGTGATATATCAAAGTAGATTCATCGAATGATATTATATTCGAGTGTCGTATGTTCTTTTCAATATAGTAGTACTCAACTCGGAAGGCTTCCCTCTTCCGACATGCCTGAAGATCGGGCACTGTAGCGGCCTTGATAATTAGAACGGGGCTTTGGGGTATATTGTAGTCATAGTATAAGAGTTATATATAATTATATGGGACTCTGTGGAATAATATTGGTATCTACTCAGGATTCTACATTAGGCACCCTTCGCTCAACCCTCCGGGAAGTCCTTGAGGCTTTGGCCGACCGCCAGCTTCGTCTCTACGATCTCCTCAAAGGCTCATGTAAGTCAACCGATAGGGTTGGAAATGCATGGTACAGGGCCGCCATGGTAAAGCAGTGATGAATGTAGCGAAGAGACCTTGGCCCTAGCATACAAGCAGAAGAAGAAGGATATTTTCGACCTTTCTGGACCTGGCCGTTGCTACTCTGCAAAGCCTCGCGTTCATGAGACATATTGCAGCCAAGCAACTTTGAGCAGCGCCTCGGGGCTCTGACACAGCAACACTGCAACAAGGCCTAGAAGAGTCCTAGAAGATAGCAAAACCTCGAGGGTTCGCAACTAAGCCGTAAGAGCGGAAGCTGGAAGCCCAAGCTTGCCGTGCGCGACCAGACACAACTCTTATAAGGTTCCCTTACTGCAATCTGCAGAGCGGATCTAGATTGCATGATTCAGTGCCATGGAGAACGACCCGAATTAAGCCTAGACACTTCTAAACTAACCCCTTGTTGTCCACTTGCGACAGCCCTTATCCTCGGAAGTCCGGTGCAGATCCGAGGTGCCTGAAACTTAGCCTTGAGGGCATCGCGCTTCTTCTTCAGCAGCTTGAAGCCTGCGGTATAAGGCTACTCGAAGCTTTTTTGGGGGAGTTGAAAGCATCCTAAAGTATCCTATTCTCGAAAGCCGTGCCCTACTTCTGGGTTCTTGTATTGACATGAAGCTCAGCTAGATTTTGCCTTATGCTTGTAATTGACAAACAGGGACGTGTCTATGCCTCAATTCCGGTCCCCAGAAGGCAAAATCCAAAGTGCGAATCCGCAAACTCGTAACTGTCACGATCCCGCCTTTCGAGGCTCCGCCTAAGCGTGCCTTGAAGGTCCTAGGCTGGCAAACAATCGGAGTCTGGGTTCCTCCAGAACCAAAAGACATCAAAAGACACACTGAGACACTGAGATTTGCCAACTACTTCTGGGAGGCTCCATGAAGCGGGCAAAGTTTGGATAAAGCTGCATCATCAGTTACATAGAACGCCAGACTGGCCCTCGAAAGGCACTACTCTGGCTTTGCTAGCCGAGCGGCTGCAGCGTCATTCGGTTGGCAGGGGGCCTCTGTCCACCAGCAGACGACATGATGACCTGGCAATCAGCTCTTACGCAAGCTTTACGCTTGCTGCGGCACAGGCTCTCGATGAACCTGACATCAGAGCATATGCAGATCACATTGATGGTCAGAAACATTGAGAAGTATACTCCTTACTCCATGCTCCGGCATGCGGAGGTCTTTTGTGTGGACCGTACGAGACATTCCGCAGGGCCTTGTTTTTGAAGCCGGCGAGGATCTACACGTGTTGCTTTTCGGCCGGCTGTCGGCTTGAACCCAAACTGACAGTGGCAACATAACCAGGTGCTCGGTCGCCCAACAGCCGCCCCTGACAAGCGCGCGCCAGTACTATCCCTCTGCACCCAACCCCCTGCAGACTTGAAAAAAAGTTCAGGTTCTGTCCTCTGTAGCCAACTCAATTCCGGGGTCGGGACATAGCCGGCATCTATACATGCGGTGTAGACCTGCCAGGCGGGACACACGCGACTTAGCTAGCTAGTTCTCTACACAAGCTAAATTGGACGACCGAGACAGCGCACGGTGTGTCATTGTGCATGTACTAGAGTTACTAGAGTGTCTCCAGGGAGAAGCTGCCAAGACACCATTGAGGACAGTTTTATCGATTCTGAGGCTGGTGGGGCAAGTCGCCGCATTAGGTGGACGAGTCGATTTCTTGCCTGGTCGCGAAGAGCTTCCGATTCACTCCAGCCCCGCAAGTCCACGAAATGATCCAGTTGCCAGGCGCACTTGACCCTGTGCGCTTCGCGCACAGGCAACTTCCATGGCGGCCACAGCAGTAGCCTTCTGGGCTTGCCACCAACCAGCCCATGCTTATGCAGAACTTGAACTGGAATGAGGAACAAACCAAGCAATGTTTTTTTGTCTTCCAAGACCGCAGCAAGCAAAAGATCGAAATCAGAAACGAAATATGCTTGATACGAGGACCGGCTTCGTCCAAGGTTCACAGCAAAGTAACCGCGAGGCTTTCGCGGAGACGATGCCTTCTCTTGAACGCACCACCTGCAGCCCTCCGCAACAAGTACAGAGTCTACTGCAGTCAACCGGTGGGCCTTCTCAAGTTGGAAGCCAACACAGGCGAATAGCTCTGCCATCTGTAGATGTGCATGTTCTTCCACCTGGTGAGACTTACTGCACCAAAGCCGAGCTTGTTTGAGTGAAATCTGTGCAATCGCATCTCGGTCTTCAAAATGTTGCTCCAGTGTTGAACCAAGGTCGATCACGCGATATGCCTCGTCCTTGTCCGAATCAAGCCGAATCGTGAAGGTTGTCGTGGAGACGAGGGACCCTGGAGTCGCCCACATGATGTCACGGTCCAGGGCAATCAAGAGAAGAAGCATTCCGGAATAGCCCCTCGTGCGTGAGAAGAAGTAAGACCTCCTCAAATTGCCCGACGTGCTGGCAGCCTTGAGCTGGAGAGGCAGCCCTCTATCGCAACCCTTGAGTCGGAAGAGCGCATCGACCCGAGAGGAGCCAGAGACGCGGATTATTTCGTGCGTCAGAGCTTGGGGTGTTGCGGAGAAGAGCTCATGAAGACGAATAAAAGACTCTTCCTCTTTTGCAAACTTAGCAGCGTTTGCGAGAGCACGGGCACGCACATCCTGCAAAGACTCCTCGAATTCGGCCTCTGACAACGACGGAAAGTTCAGCGACTTCTTGAGTCGAGCTCCCTTTGCGCACAGCTGCCTCAGTAAATCATCGTAAGCCTGTGCTGCCTCGACCTCGCAGCGGAAGTAGCCGGCATGATGCGTGACACCTTGCAAGGAGACTTGCGCCTGGAACTTCCTGGCATGAGTATTCCGGAAAACCCCGTTGAACGAGCTCGAGGCCAGGTCTCGCCAGGATCGCGCGAATGTGTGGGGCGCTGTCCCCAACCCAGTTGCAAATCTCGTGACCACCCCCGATTTGCAGTACGAGTAGAGAAGCATTTATGGAACCCTAGTTTCCTAATCTGGCCATACTCTTCAAGGGAGAGCAGCAGCGACCAAGTCACAAGGTTCGGATTGGAGCTGTGCCTCGTTGACAAATCTATCGAACTTATGTACAGGAGGTAGTGCATCACAGTTTTGCTGTAATGGGGTCGTGGAGTGAGTGTGTGTGTGTGTGTGTCGGTGTGTGTGTGTGTGTGTGTGTGTGTGGGTGGGTGTGTCTCTGCACGTGTGTGTTCGTTCACTGACTGTGAGATTTTGGCTTGAAAGCGAAATTTCATATTCGACGGCTTATCGACTGTCTTTTGAGGGGCACATGTCAACCGGGGCTTCGGCTTAATTGAGCATGTGATCAAAGGTGCCTTCAGAAAGCCTGGACTCGATCCGCCTGCCGTGATATCACCAACATTGAATGGAGGTTGAAACTGCTAAGTCGTGAGTACCCAGCTACCGTGCGGCCCTTTCCAACAGCAGGCACCAGCAGTCAAACGAGCCCAACCTGGCTCTGAATGCATCCCCGCAGTGCGGCCCTCGCCTTCTGCGCCACTTCCAACTCGAAGCCAAGCTCACGCCTTGGGATTGCAGCTAAGTCTTCACAAAATGCCTGGCAGTGGTATCCCTGCCGGCAGCAGAAGTTACAGGCAAAGATGAACCCATGCGAGACTAGTGAAGGTCATGAGCTTTTGTAAGATCCACACACCTTTGAATGGCCGAAACCCTCTCGACACCGGGAAAAAAGCATTTCCGACTGATAGAGTGGTGCAGCTTGTTTTGAGGAGATGGCACAGCCAAGTACTCGAACTCGACGGCAGTCATTGCCCCTGAGCCGGATGAAGGCAACATCACCGCTTCTACTGCCAGGCAGCTTGAGGTGAACCTGTCAGGCATGACTTCAGCCTTGACTCGGCCTGACGATCTGCTGGCACAGCTGCTTAAAATCACGCCTCTGCCGCAAACTCCGGCACGCAACCTATCGGCCTGCGGAATGTGAGTGACGGGTGAGAACATGACCGACGTCTCTTGCATCTCCTGCTAAACCGGTGCGCTCGTAACTTACTGCTGTATGTGTCGCACTCCGTCTTCAAACTCGGGAAGCAACTCTGTCCACAGCAGCATGTGCAGTACGTATCATTTTCCCCGACTTACTTCCCGAAAGAGCGATGAAGCATGCCCGCCGCGTTGGCGAACTTCGCTCGCGTGGCTGCACCTCCGTGCGGGATCTGTGTTGCATCTGGGCCATATGGGTCGAGCAGAATTGCACCAAGAAGCTGAGCCTAAACCACTTCCTCAGCAAGCCCGCGCCATCATGCCAACATGGTCTGTCACAGTTGCAGGGGCAGAGCCTTCTTGAGGAATCGGGCCACTGCGGCCTGCCTGTCAAATTTGTGGCACAGAAATTGAAACCCCCAAGGCCCTGAAACACTGTGCCATGGTTAGCTCGCAAATCTCCTAACGTGTAATTTGAGCAGTAGATATATTTTAGGCATGCATAAGTACATCCACTCATCTGCTGTTCATGTCGGGTACTCGCCATGATGTGCCTGTTAAGCTGGGTCACGCCATGAACTTCAGCGCGTTTTGTCTGCACAAGACCTCCGCACCCCAAGCCCAAGCAAGGAGACAGCCCTGCTCAGCTGAAGCGCCTTGCCACGGAAGCAAGCTCCACACGAGAAGCTGGAAAAGCTTGTGCCAGCAAGCAGCACGCGTCCCTCAGCCGCAAACTGACACATGGCGACTTTGTAAATTTCACGACGGAGAGCACAAGGCACTGAGAGTTCGCGGCCAGCTTGCAAAGAAGCTCCTACGGCACGCTAGGGACGAAGCTTAGCTTCACCCGAGAGTGCAAATAAAGCATGCAAATCACCAGAGGTACCAACATCCCTGAATTGAGTATAGGGTTTCGACCGGTTTAGGATTTAGGGTTCATTATAAGGGTCCGGTACGGATGCCGCCATGCATCAGATCCTGCACCAGGGCTATGGAGTCTCTGGGCACTTGGCAAACACAGCTGCCAAGAGCTCTTAAAAGTCGTGAAGCGCCATGTCTGCAGGGCTCCATTCACGGGTGGCAGCACTGCCAGCGAATCCACCACAAAGCACAACATTAATAACTTAAAGCCGTCATAAATCTGAGAGTGGTGATGCTTGATGTGTCTAGACTTGGACCACCGAATACTCCATCTTGCCCCGCTCACCATGGAAGCCACTTGTTCAGCACGTCTCTGGCCTGGCCGCCAGCTTTTGCCTGGCACATGCTCAGCCATGGAATCATCTAGCAAAGTCGTCACCAAACTCAACAAGCCCTCTTCGTCCCAAGAGCCCCTGAACCGTAAACCCCCCCGTCCATGAAGAAAGCGGCCTGTCCGGCATAGAGGCTGAAGGGCTTGTGCAGCATTGCACAGCCCTGAGACATGGAGTGAGGGAAGTTCGCACTCGTTTCGGCTAGCGTCTCAGCACTCACACTCGGACAAGCCTAGGCGAGGAGGCTTGGGTTTCGGGTTTAGCGGATTAATCGCATTGTCTCTTTAAGTTGGGGCCTTGGTACCACGCTCCTTGCCAGAGACATCCTATAGTCCCTACCGGCTGCCCCTTAAGGCATCGTAAGACCGTCCCTGTAAACCCTCTCATTCTTGTGTAGCCTCTTTTTAACACTTCTTGGTACATGTGGACCTACAGTGCCTTCCTAAAATGAAGCCTACTCCCTAAACCCCAAACCCCACGAGCCCTAAACTCCTACACCCCCAACCCTGAACCAAAAGCCCCAAACCATGATACCAAAAGCCTGGCCTATAAACCATAAACCCCAGACCCTAAAATAAGCGCTGAACCCTCAACTCAACCCTAAAACCATATAAACCCCAAACCCTAAGTTAAGCCCTGGACCCTCAACCCTAAACCCTAAACCCCAAACCCTAAACGGCTCAGGCCGGTGCAAAGCCGAGGTCCGGTGTGTTCAGGGCCTGGCTCGACCTGGGGCTACGGAATACTGACGGATACTGGACGGTTTGCAGGTTTTCGGGCTCGGGCCTTTGGCTTGATATATTGGTTTTGTGGTTTCCAGACAGGGTAGTGTCAGGGTAGGGA